GGGGAACGCTGTAGCTGATGACAACAGGGATGAGGGTGAACTGAAATGTACAGTAGCAATAAAAGAGATTCAAGTGCCTCATGCCAACAAATGGTACGGTTTTAGTACACATCTAATGAGGCTTCCTACAGAAGACCAACTACATGAGCAACATTCGCCAAAGTCGCCAAAGAAAGTCTTGATGGCCAAAGCAAAGACCAGATAATGCCATTTCCTATAGCTGAGCTCACAACACCACCCTGGCAACCTTACTTAAAAATGCATCTCTGCTCCCATTGATCCTTGTTACCCATAGTGCCATCTTGACAATATGTAGTTATAAATTTGATCCTTGTTACCCATAGTGCCATCTTGACAATATGTAGTTATAAATTTGATCCTTGTTACCCATAGTGCCATCTTGACAATATGTAGTTATAAATTTGTGCATATGCCTCCCCCAATTGACAAATGTGGAACCCCTGACATCCATCAGAGCTACAATCTCAGGATTAAGTACAAAATATAGCCCAAAGTAGGTGCTCATTTGCTGACTGAGTAAGTGGTGGCTGAACACATGAAGAGAATTTTTCCTGAGCTGGTGAGGCACAGCTAAATTCCTGTTCTGCGTGGAAACAGAGCCCCTCTAGTGCGATGTTTATCATCACTGAAGGCCTCTAATGGCACCCCTGAGACTAGAAAGACAGACTGGCAGATGTTCTGTGACACCCTTTCCTTTGTCTGTGACATACTTGGCACATTGTAATTTCTCACTCTAAGAAAAGAGGAAGGAAAACCACAGTAATTCAAACAGTCAACAGGAATCAAAGGCAATCACTGTAAAAGAGTCAAGTATATGCTACAATTCAGCGTGTGAGAAACAAGGCCAGTCTCATCAGGGTGTAAGCAATCACTGTTAAGTGAACAACTCTAAGTTAACTCCCCAACCTAAACCATCCCCTCCTCTGTCTGCCTGAATGGAATATCTGACTATAAGGAATTTTTAAAATAATAGAAAAATATGTAGCATTCTTTAGCACTGGATTGAGGAACACCTTTCTGAATAATATATAAAACTAGAAATAATTTCAAAACACTGATTTGAGCATCTCTTTTAAAAACATAAAAGTCTATTTGACAAAAGAGCATCAATTTAACACTAAAACCTAGTATCAAGTCACATAGCACACAAAAGAAAATCACACATCATACACACAGACGCACACACACACATGCACGCACATCTATATCAATGCAAAGGTCTTACAAGTGACAGAGTATGGTTTGCTCTAAATATGAAGATTGCACTAAACCGCAAATCACTTTTCTTCCTCTCCACCTAAGGATTAAAGATGGGGGCAGACAGTATTAGTCTAATCTTCTGGTCACACAGAACAAGCCCCACTTCACATACAAACAGGGGTCCAGTATGAGTCAATCACTTCCCTCCATTCACCATCATGGTTGAAATGATCACTGTGGTCTGAAGCCTGGCACTATCTTACTGCAGCAGACACAATCTACTGCTGTGCAGGATGAGCACTGCCTCCATCACACTGCACAGGTATTGCAATGGCAGACTTAATGACTGTATCTATACACATACGTACACACACATGTATACATATATAAGAATCAAAATATACAAAACTGCTATAAACATTCAAAAATGGGCAAATTATTAGTTATTGATATACCTGTTTGTGGCAGGCCTGGGACTGTCATGTGTGACCTGATAGTACAGGAAGTACCCAGAAGACTTGGCTACTAAGAAAAGGCACAGTTGTCTTAATAAAAGCCACCATGCCAAGGACAGGACCTTCTCTGATGATCAACAGTTCAGATTCTCAAGTGGACAAAAATAAAACTCTGCTATGTATGAGTGTCTACTTTCAACCAGACATCACCCTCTGCACTTGTCAACTAGCTATCAAAGCGAAGGCCACAAAGAGTGCTGTTCCCGTTCTTGATGTGTGTGGGTGCCAGGCTGAGGAAGGCACAGATTTACCACAAAACGAATGTGTGAGATAAAGCTAGGATTGGGGTGAGCCCCATCTACAGCACAGCTCGGTTCCAGGCCACAATGCTTGTTCCCTCTGGCCTGGTCTCAGAAAGAGGTGCAGGTAATTTCCCTCTCCTCAGTTTATAAAGTATCACCACTGTCACTGGAACAGATCAAAGCTGCCATCCATACAAAGCATTCAAAACCTTCGATTTGAACCTCCAAATTCAGTTTCCTAAAGAAAACAAGCTCTGGAAACGCAGAGCTATGTGCCTCCTGGGGAGTCTGTCAGCACTCCACCATCCTAAGGAATGCACGACCAAGATGAAATAAGGAGCGGGCACAGCAATGCTGAGTCACTCATCGTTACAGTCGGCACCTGACATCACGAAACCACACTACACACAGAGAAACTGCTGCATACAATGCCACAGTCTAAGGTCTGCTCTAAAGTGCAATGATTTGGAATCCAAATTCCGTGCCTATAAGAGCTTGCAATTTTACTCTTGGAGGCAAAAATAAAACAAACACAAAAGATACTAAAGAACAATTAGGTCATATACAAATACACAAATTAGCTAACAATAAAAAGCAAATCCTTACATACTCAGGAAGTATTTCTTTGCAGAGGGAAGTTCCTGCAAGCAGTTCTTTTAAAGCATTGTTTAAGCAGTCAATAAGTGATTAGGAAGGAAAACCAATGCATCCTTGGATGTTAGTAAAACCTAATTCTTAGATCCATTTTAAAATACTGTTAGAACAAAAACCTAATCCAAGAAACAGAATTTATGAAGAAACGTAATAGATGAGTTAAAATGGTTATTTCTTACTAATATGGGCCCTGAGATTCCTCCCTTTTCTTGCTGTCACTGTCTCTACCAGCACCTTTGCTCAGATTTGGAGTTTGGCACTGATGAACTGTGGTGGTATGAATGGGAATGGCCACATAGGTACATATATTCGAACATTTGATCCTCAGCTGATAGAACTGTTTGGGAAAAATTAGGAGGTGTGGCCTTGTTGGAGGAAGCTTTTAAGTGGGGCTGGGCTTTGGGCTTTCAAAAGCCCAAGCCATCCATGCAGGAGGTGCAGGAGTGAGTATGGGGGGGGGTGGATGCGTGCTCTGGGAAAAGGTGAAAACCCACAGTTACTGCTCTGGAACCTGCCTGACTGCCTGCTGCAAGCTCTCACTACAGCGGCCATGGACTCAGCGTCTGAGACTGTAAGCCTCAATAAACTCTTCTCTAAGTTGATTTGTGCATGTGTTTTTCCATAGCAACTGAATGTAATTATTATGACATGTACTGAAACAAAAGCTGGCAGCATAAATAAAACAAAAAATGACCCTGGCAAAGTTAAGTTCATAAAGGAGGGAAAGAAAGAGGGGAGGAGGAAAACTGGAAGTGTTCAAGGGAAAGTATACGTTATAGATGCTATAGAGCCTGACTGAAGGCAGCTGGAGCATGGCGACTGTCCCGGCTGGAAGCATGGTAACTTGTCCTCCGACCCAGGTTCACATTGTTTCAGATTACATAGCAGTCGCTATCCTCCCACTCATGTCAGCTTAGGCTGACACGCTGTTTATTTTTTAGCCTGCTTCAACCATTACAACCTGAGTTACTGCAGACTGCATCTCCTCCTCTTTCTCCTCTACCTCCTCCTCCTCACGGGTCACTCTCTCCAAATATCTGGTGGCAGCTCTGGGATATGGAATCTTAACTCAATTTCTGGTCCCTCTTATTTTAATCCATCCCAAACTCCTCTAAGTCAAAGAAATATTTTAGTCCCTCTTTGGGGAAATGAAATGGATTTTGTTCATTTATACTTAAGAGGATCCCTGGGTAACAATACTGTGTCCAGTAATAACAATAAAAATGTACTAGTGGTGGAAAAGTTTCATGAATTCTTGTGCTGAGTTAACCATGAGTTCACAGAAGTGACTCCTGGCCAGGAGACTAAGCCAGGGACATTCTCACCTGCTTCATGTCAGTCACGACTACAAGTCAGAGTGGATGGCATCTGACGTGGGGAGGCAGGTGAGGTGATGGTGAGAGGCCAGCTCCACATTGTCCTTGTTTTTTCCAACCATTTTTCTTCCCTACTCTTCTCCCACACCTATATATAAGCCTACTATTTTCTGCCATTAACCTCTTGCCTTAAAGATTATCATCGGAGGGCACTGTCCAGTGGGAAGAACAAATCTATGTAATATTCAGGGAACTTCAACCACCTTTACCAACTCCCAACTTCATTAACTTACATGTTTTGCAGAAGTACAGAAAGTTTTTATCTAAAGAAGAATGTGAACTATTAGAACAATAATCTTTCAGCACTCTCTACAACAGTCCTACCTGGGGGCTGGGATAGAATTGGCTGGTACTGAGAAAAAAACAAGGTGAGCGTGAAGCCTATCAGCTAAGCCGGCCTTGCGCCTTTGACCAACAGCACTTAAAACACCTGCTCTGGCCAGGCAGTGGTGGCGCACGCCTTTAATCCCAGCACTTGAGGGGCAGTCACAGGCGGATCTCTGTGAGTTCAAGCCCAACATGATCTACAGAGTTAGTTCCAGGACAGTCAAAGCTACACAGAGAAACCCTGTCTCAAAAACAGACGACAACAACAACAACAACAAAAAACATCTGCTCTGGCACACCCCACCTGCCATCCTGATGCAGACAAAGGCATCCACAACTCTCCTCATGCTCTGGGCACCATCAGGGAGCCTTGAGGAAGATCTTCCCTGGATGTGAAGGAAACATCACTAACCAACCACAAGTGCCTTCTCTGTGTAGACAACAGTGAGTGCAAAGAGCAACTCCATCCCCACACTGGCACAGCACAACATGCTGGACAGCTCCCAGTGCAGCCACTCACTAAGGTCCATAAACTTCCCCTACAGGGTTTGGTTTTTCTGTTGGTTTTTTCTTTTGGTTTTTTGTTTTTTGAGAGCAATCTCCTTCTCAAACTTGAAATGTCCTTAAATAAAGATGGAAATCATTTATTAACAATGAGTACTTACCTGCAGACGCGAGCTGGGAAATACAACTTCTGCCAAGACCGACACAGGTAATGTGAGTGATCTATGACTCTGATCCAGTCAAGTTCATCCATGGACACTTCAATAAAGTAGGAATAAGACCTAGGAATTAAAGGAAAGAACAGGGCACAGTGACAACAGAAAACCAAAGTAAAATATTAAAATGTACCAAAATATAGAATAAACTAATTCTATCTGTTTCAAAATAACATTTATCAAATTCGGGTAGCAATGAAAGCTGTATAAAACACTCTCCTTAGCATTTACTCAATGTATTGACATTTCCTCTCAGTTCGTCTTTCTGCCTTAATCAAATGATGAACTACTTAAGAACAAAATGAAACGGAAGACTGTTTTTCCTCACATTGCCCAGATGCCTTGGTCATGCCCTATTAGCAGATTAATAAAGCCAAGAGGGAGGAAAGGAGAGACAGAGGAAACAGGAGCAGAATTGGGGAGGTTAGACAGAGAAGGGACAATGAACAGAAGCAGGCAAGAGCCCTTTCTTTCCTCCTTCCACGGCCCCTGGTCTAGGTGTTCTGCCCTCCCTTCTTGCAGGAAAAGTTAAGTGGAAGGGTGGAATAGTTCTCCACAGAAGGCAGCTTATCTCCAGCCACCTCTCAGTCTCCTACCATACCACACTTAAAAACAGCCTGCTGGAAAATAAACGACATGGAGGAAAGATAATGCTTGTTTCTTTGGGATGCAACTTAAAACTTGCCAGCTAATAACCTGGCTGTAATGAAAACAGCCCATCATCCTCCCCTAGGCAGCTGCCTGGGACCATTACATGCTGGTCCCATACTGAAAACATCTGTACTTCCTTGCCATGAGCCAAATTTAAATTTGAGGTGCAGTTATTACTTGTACTGTAATATCAACAGGAACAATCTTGGAAGATTTAGGTGAGCATAAATGTCAGCCTGCAACCCACAGCTGTAGCCAGAAAAGGTCAGCTTATTTTGTGTTATCCCCTCACTTTCTGCTGTCCCCTCAACTCCCATTCATTTTATCGCTCAGCCTCAAACTGGCTATAACCTTTTATTGAACCTCTCTGGGTTATCAGTAATGTGGGATATAATTTTACAACACATCAGAATCTTTTTGGCTTAAGATTTTGAATTTTTCACCTTTACTTCAAATGTTAACAATGCTGTGAGAAAAGAACAGGTAAAGCTAAGTCCTCTGTGAATGGAATACAGATACTAAAACAAAGTGGCCGATAAATATTTAACATCATGGGAACAATGAGCTGTGCTTTCAGGTTCAAGCACACTAGCCTTTTCCTTTATTATTTTTATACCAATTTCGTTATTAATTAGATGAATGAAATACGTAAAGCCTTTAGAAAGCCTACCATATACAAGTAATGGAAGTGCAATATAAATATTATTACACTGTTATTATTAACCAGGGATTATTGGAAATGAGAAACACGAATTAATTCTAACCACTTCGTCAGTCATGCACCAAATATTCACACCAAGACACATGTGAGGAAATGCACTCTTTTTTTTAAAGGATTTATTTTACAGCACACATTACATGTGGTTTTGAGTCCCCAATGTGAGTGCTGGAATCAAACTCTTGCCCTCTCCACAAGAGCAGTACATGGATCTGAACTACTGAGCCATCTCCCCAGCCCCATGAAGTATATTCTTAATAAAAACAAAACAGCTATCACCTAGGGATCTCAAAAACAACACTACACATACAAATGCTGACTGAATCACCTTAAAAAGATTCCCTCAAATGGTCAAAAATTCAAAGTGCTACCAGGACACACTCTCTTCCTTCCATGTGAGCCCTGTCACTACTCCCACTGAACTGACAGGCCCAGACCCAAAAGGCACAGCAGGTTCGGTAGGCCTTAGGCTAAAAGTACTACTAGAGACCACGTAGTTCTGCTCATCACTGCCCTGGTGCTTCTGACACCAGGAATGCACAGGCACAAGCAGACCAGAGTTCGACAGAGGTGCTGGAAGGAAAGCACTCTTGGAGCTGCTAAGAAACTGGGCACACGCAGTGGCCTGAAGATCACTCCACTTCTTTCTCAATTTGACTTCATTCCAAGGATGCTTAGCTATGCACTGAAAGACAATTTCTTCAGTCATTTAATGATATGTATTTTAAAGTTTTCATAATATCCAATATTAAGGAATCAAATAAATAATGTTTACTTATATGGAAGGATGCCAGATAATATTTCAAAACTAATAGAATGTTTTAAATGTAGTAACTGAAACACACTGGGCTTTAATTTCATGTTTCAGTTACTACATTTCAAAGGCACAGTGGGGCACACACATCTGTAATACAAGAATTTGGGAAACTGTGGCAAAAAAAATCCAAGTTTGAGATCAGGCTAGGCAAATTATTAAGACTCTGCCTCTTAAGGAAGAAAAATAAAAAGTAGAGGTAAGTTTTCCATATAGCTAGTCTATATTTTGTGAAGCTACGTGAAGACTCTGTAATGTGCATATGTATATGAAACAGACAGGGAGAAAACAAACACAGATACATACGAATTTTAGTAATGGGTAGTGGTGAGATTACAGCAGTTTTTACTTTCTTCTTTGTGCTTTTCTGTATATCCCAAAATAAACACTTATTTGGTGCTTGTATATAAGGAAGACAAAAGGGGGCTAGAGAGATGGCTCAGTGGTTAAGAGCACAGGCTGCTCTTCAGAGGACCCAGGTTTGATTTCCAGCACATACATGGTGACTCACAACAGTCTGAAACTCCAGCCCCAGGGCATCCAGCACCTTATTATGGCCTCCGGGAGGCCAGATACTCATGATGCACATACATACATGCAAGCAAAACACTCATAATACACAAAATAAAATACCAAAAACTTTAAATTTTAAAAAGGACATTTTAAAGAAATCTAACTTTTAATTCTTCCTCTACAACTAACCAAGAGAAATAGCAGAATGATCACAGATAGGTCATTTAAACTTATAAAACCAAAGCAGATTGTCACTGAGTATCTAACAGTCTAACAAGTTGTTTTGGCTGTGGTGTTTCATCATAGCAATGGTTACCCTAAGACAGAGACACTGTCTTTCTCAGTAACTACCCCCTTTGCCAGTAAATAAAAAAGCAGTAAGGGAGAGGAACCAAAGCAGATGACCAAAAAGTTAGGTCCTCTTCAACAAATGCATGACACCATGTCAGTGTCTCAGGGACAGAAGGCCTCACCGGCTGTCACGGTCCCACAGGAGGAGGCGTATGTGGTTGATAATGGACGGCTGGCCGAGCTTGATCTCAATGCCAGAGCGGCAGTCATCATCGATGGGATGCCTGGAAAATCCATGATCCAAGTCATAATTTTGAGTGTCACCATCCAACAAGGCTGACTTCAGCTCTCCTTTCACAACCTGGGCTCCGTACTTCATAGTTGCGATGTTTTCTTCTGGTACTACAGTTAGAAACAGAGCGAGTGAAGGGGTGACTTTCATGACTCTATACTAGTGAAGGGAAAGTGAACATCTAAGCATTCCAGTTAACTCTAGTATCTGCATTTGATTTTAAGTTGCATAGGCATGAAGATGGAAATGAAGAATATAGTATGTCCACCAAAATTAAAATAGCTCAGCATTCAAACTGTATGTCACTATCACATCTATAGTGAGCCAGACACTAGACATTAAGGGAACGTCACTACTAGAAGAATCACAAGTAGCAGGACAAGCAATCCTCTCTGTTCATCCCGTTAGCAGCTTTAATCTAATGTCTGCTGATCAGAAACAGCACATCAGATGATCTGCACCCGCCATCCGGACCCAGGACAGGTGTCCAGCCAACAGGCCAAACGAGAGAAGGAGAAGCTCCAGTGCTGCTCACTGTGAGCCACAGACAGACAAGACGCAGCAGTTTTCCATGCGGAGAAAGGAAGAGCCTACCTTAAAAGAAAATAAACATCACTTGATTTTTGTTGTTGTTGCTGTTTTAATTTATTTAATTTTCTTTTACGTGCATTGGTGTGAGGGTGTTAGATACCCTGGAACAGGAGTTACAGATAGCTGTGAGCTGCCAGGTAAGTGCTGGGAATTAAACCCGGGTCCTCTGGAAGATCAGCCAATGCTCTTAACCACTGAGCCATATCTCCAGCCCTGTTTTTTTTTTTTAATTGAAAATTCAGAAGCCTGTAATCAGAATCAATATTGTAGCTATCTTAAGCTCCCTCCTTTCTCCAATGAGAGATTAGTGTCTGGGACTTTAAAGTCATTTATACATATCATGCTTCACAGGTAAGGACGGTGTCTCCAGGGACTGACACCTAAACCGGCACTCTCCACGGAAAGACACAAGGCTGTACAGACATGCTCAGAGACTGAGTCATAATTTAAATCAAGGCTGTACCCTGAACTGGATATGTCACCTGGGAGAAATTACTCTTTCTAAATGTCAATTTCTTAAGAGGACAATGCTTGTCCCCTACATGTCCCCTGTGAAGACTGAGCAGGTGTTTGTAAAGCATACAGCGTGCTCTTTTAGAAACAGTCATCACTATATTGCACGTACATAAGAGAACTATGCAGGTTTCCCAGCAAGCACATACAGCTTGGCCATATAGTATGCAGGGAAAAGGGAGACTTATCAGGTGCACAAAGGAAAAGCAGGAGGAAGAACTCGGCACTGCAGATATGGTGGGAATTGGCTTGTGGAAGTTTACAAATAAAAACAGGTAACAGTGGCTCCAGAAGAGGACAACAAATGCAGCTAAAAGCAACTCAGGAAACAAAGCAAGTAGGGCAATGCTCAACGGCTGAAGTGGCACCTTCACATGGCCAATTCTGATCACTCTCCATACTCCTCCCAGACACCGCTGCATGCACTTACAAATATTAGCTCTTTGATTTAGTCCTCATATTGCTCCCAGAGCATAGTACAGCACTGTGGCCAGCAGAGTTGAGTCGTGGAAGCAAGAAAAGCTCAATGGACCTGTTGTTCAGCAGAGCTGGTGTCAGACCCAGGCATCCAGGGAGTCCCACTGCTAGTTTAAGGCTCTGAGCCTCCTTCATAGGCAAATTCTGATGGGACTGTTAAGACAGCACAAGTTAAGACTGGGAAACAGAGGGACTTGTGTCAAGCCTCCAGGCTTAGAAACTGAAACCATCTGAAGAGAGCTTCCTTCAGTACTAAAAATCTATCACACTCTAAATAATACAGCAGGTCCAACAGTTTCTAATGATTACAGCTGAAATCTAAAATAGAAATAGTCTTCTTTTGAAGTCTATTTCAAGAGTACTTAAGCATTTTCTAGCCATTCTCAACACACTCATTCCCGGAGAGCATCTTTTGCTCCAACTGAAGACCATTTACACAAGTGGAAATCCCCTTGTGACAAGTAGGAGTACAGTGCTAGATAAAAATACAGCTCCAATGTAATCTTTCTCTTCAAAATCTACAGTTAAATGATAAATTTAAAAGGAAAAGTCATCCTGGAAAATTTTATACTACAAAAGTATTCAAAGCATGAGTATTCTTAGTACCTCTATCTCTCTATCCATGAACAAAAAAACCTTTCAGGAAATAGAAGGCAGTAGCAGGAAATGAGCAAGATCATAAATAGCAATCAAAATGTTCTTTACGTTTATGATTTATAATATGTTTTATAGCCATTAAGAAAAATGAGCTTTAAAGTCCTATAGCTAGGTAAAAACAAACCAATTATTAGAAAGGGGGAAAAGGGGATAGTTGGGTTATTTCAAGCTCCCTCCTCTCTCCAACTGAGATTAGTGTCTAGGACTATGAAGTCATCTATAGATCAAATTTCACAGGTAAGGAAGGGGTCACCAGGTACTGATACCTAAAAGCCAACACTCCAAAGATAGACAAGAGGTTGCATAAACTTGCTCAGAGATTGAGTCATAATTTAAAGCAAGCTACACGGTGAGAAAAGCTGAGGCACTGGGCTAACAACCCTGTGTTCTTCTCTTATGTTTATAATCATCCTAGGGACATAGCTCTTGAGACAGGCACTTATACCAATGAATTATTTGGATACAAAATAGCTCTCTGCCCACTAGAATCTCTTTACCCACTTTTGTCACCTAAGTCATCTCCTACACTTCCTGAAATGTATGGGGCCCCTGCCTCCCTCCCTTGATACTTGCTAACAGCTGTGTCATTACAAACGACTTTCCCAAAGTTCCTGTCTTGCTTTAACTTTCCCCATTAACCTACTTTTTCCAGACCTTGTTTCCACACTTCTCAATTCTGATACAAACACACAAGTGGAAACAAAGAAGAAATCAACTAGGAGAAATTACAGAAGAGCATCTACTTCCTACTGTTTGATCCCAGACTAGGCAATTAATTTACCTGGCAACTTTAGCAAGTTACCAAGCAATAGCATGCAGCTAAATGGGACCACCATCCAATTTATTTAAAGAAACGGGTTTCAAAGCTGCCTCTGCTGTGCGAATCACAGTACTGGACTCAGCCCCAGATGTTCAGCATCTGGCAGAACAAGAGACCTGCACTGACACTGAACACCTCCACAGATGAATGCACCCCACGGATGACACAGCAGTGAAAGAGCCAAGAGTTGAAAGTTCATGTTACAATTGTTTTTATGTGATGGGGGAGAAAGACTTAAATTCTAGTTTAGAAACAATTAAAGGATTCATTCAGTCTTATGTATTTAAAAAATCTTGATTCAGACACTGTGACAGGTGCTAGAAGACCACAGGCAAAAAAGGACACAACTATATCATTAAAGAATTCAATCTAATGAGTGCATCTAGACAAATAAAAACCAACAATTCTATCACAGTTGCAAAGATCCATAGAGCAGTAACTCACACAGGCGTGCACACACACCCCAACAATGTACCTCAGCTGTCTTAGGAACATATTGACTTTTACTCAATAAAGATATCCTGAGGCTAGAATCTGTGATACAGCTCTATGCTATATGCGTGCAGAAATAAGAAGTTACTGTTCTCTTTCCCATAGTCTAAAACATGAGATAAACAAAGCAAAGTACAACTCAGCCTCATCAGATAAAGCACTGACTTTCAAAGCAGCATCTATAGAATTAAGATAAAACTAAATGTTAAGAGAATGGAAAGGAGGCTGTTCAAATATCCTAAGATTTCATTAAAAAGGACATTTCCTTTCCCTAGCTGCATAGATGAATGCTTATTATATATGCATAAAACTATGTAAACTACCTTCTAAAGAGACCAGCCCTCATCACTGAGTAAAAACATCTTCTGGATCGCCCCCATTAAAATGGGGTGGCGTGTGCAATTTAGTAAAGTATCTAAGTAGGCATTGAGGAGAGACTCTTCTAGAAGCTCCTGGTCTATGAACTTGTAAGAGCAGCACCAGGACCAAGAGAGGCCCTCTGCATTCCTGATTAGCCTCTAAACACGAACACATGCCAGGTAATAATATCAACAGTCACACAATCCCCCAGCAGCTCCAAAATCAGCAGAGCTAGCTTCTCCAATACCAGCAGAGCTAGCTTCTCCAATACCAGCAGAGCTAGCTTCTCCAATACCAGCAGAGCGAGCCTCCAAACCATCAGCCGAAGAATGGTTCTGAGCTGTTCGGCTTTGTTTTCCAACAAAAAAAAAAAAATGTGTTAAAATAATTATCCGAATGTTTGGATAGTTCTTAGAAAATAATCTCTTTACGAATCTGCTAGGAATGTATTGTGTTTCCACAGTATTTTTAATATTGGTTTTACTATCTAAATACTATAAAAGTCAGAAAATATCCTGCTATTTAACCATTACTCAATGATTTTATGATTGCCAAACACTTTTATAATCTATTCCTTAAGCTCTGCCTGAATGTCTCCAAAATGAAAATTTTACCCTGATGAGCAATAGTCACAGAAAACACATCATTCCAGAACTGAGTGCCTTAGTATTTCCTCCCCAAGGAATCTCCCAGAGAACTAAAATCCAGTGCTTACACATGGGCTAACCAAGAAACCAGTAACTGTATGAAGTGCCAAATATACCTAACACCTACATCCATGATCCAACCAATCTTCACCAAACCCAGTTCTAGGGCATATCAGCCAATCATAGGAAAGAAGGAGAGGCACTTATATAAGAGGATACAAAATGAGGGTTTGGGAAGTGTAAAATTCAACATCGTTATGTCACCTTTCATCCTCTTACACAGCTAAGACTGACCTTCAACTGGCCCCTCTAATTGCTTCCTAGACCTCTGCAGTTAGTTCTCTACAGCTACATCATTCTGTTTCTCTACTGCCTTTTACCTCAAACCACAAACCCAATCACACTAACACACTGTGCATGTTATCCCTTCAAACATAATGCCTGATTCCCTTTAGACTATTCATGAACTCACACGATTTACATCCAGAGTCCTCTCGACTGCCATTCGCCTTGACTCTCTGGCATCGTGAGACAGCATAACTGCCTCTCCATACAGCTGCTCTCCCCTCTGACTGGCTTCTGTGGACTTCCTGTATCTCTGCTGCCTCCCTGCCTTTCCAATTCCTTCTCCACCTGAAGCCTCCAGCCTATAAGTCTCCAAGTCTTGGAGCTTGATTCTTTTACTCCTTATTCTTACCAGATTTCAACTCTTTTGGTCTCTAGCTTTGACTGCTCCCCGAATACCATAGCATGCTTTGATCCAGCAAGCGTTCACTTGTTGCACACTGGTCAGTGTGTTAAATGGTCAGGATAAAAGATCAATAAATAAGACCCACAAAAAACATTGTCTTTAAAACTCAAAGGTAAGTAAAGGAAACTGTTTACAAGAATGTGGTGAATATAACAATTCACAATGACATACAGAGATGAGGAGAAAAGAAACCACATGCCATATTTACACAAATTATTCCAGTTAATCCTCCTAATAATACTGATATAGAAAACTAAAACTCAATTTATTGCCAGATCATACAGCTAATGACTAATTCAGGACTTAAAATCAAATTTGTCTGGCTGAGGGACTCAGGAGACAGCTCAGTCTACGGAGTGTTTACCAAACCAGCAGTGAGAACCTAAATCATTTCCCAGTACCGCCATAAAAAGCTGAGTCTAACGGCACACAACTGTAAACCCCAGAACAGAAGGGTGATCCCGGGAGTCTGACGCCCAGCCAGCCAGCCTACTCAGCGGGCCCGAGGCAAAGAGCAGGTCTCAGAATCAAGCTGGATGACTCCCACAAGGTAATGCCTGAGGCTCACCTCTGGCCTCCACATTCTGTGCACACATATGCATGTATGTGCACCCACAAAATATGTGAGGCCAAAGAACTACTGTTCTTTTCAGTTGAAATCGAGATCTGACAACTTGGGAAGTAAAAGTAGGCTAAGGACTTCTATTTAGGGCCCACCAGCATTTCAAGAATGTCTCAAACCAGTCAAGAAAGGTATCATTCCAGGAAATGGCCCGTCTGACCAGAAATGGCAAATATCTAGAAGCCCTCAAGCTGAATAACCAAAGCCATGCTCAGCATCTCCCAGCAGAAGCACTGCCTGCCTGAGGACATGAAATGCCCTGAGCTTTAGCTGGCACCGTTTACTGTCCTAAGACAATGAGGCCTCGGGACTGCTGGTTACTTAGATTTAGAAAACCACAGTGAAGTCCTCCTATCATCAAGCTCTAACTTCCTGAAACCCTGCCTATACTCCTGTTCCTTTCCACTTCTCTGCCATCACACGCTGTGTCAGTCAAGCAGATTAAATTCCTTCCTCACTGGTTTTCTGGAATCCAGTTTAAACTCTTCCAAACCATCCAGGAGAGCCCCACTGCAGTGTGCAGTCCACTCTCAAGTAAGCTTCTCATTGTAGAGAAAGGAGATTTGAGCCAGCTTTCAAAGATCTCCATGACCTGTCTGAACTGGCACGCAGCCATTAGCTCACACGGCAGCAGCACACCCTCCTGTTCTATCAAGCGCTTTCGTCCTGGCCTCTCAGATGCACAGCTCTATTAATCTCACCCATCTTCCAAACTGGCGCTCAGTTAACGACAATGCCACTCCAACCAAGGAGTTTCCTGCCTTCCCCTCAACCATTCTAGGCCACCTTTTTCTGAAGTTACACTGTGTTACCTACTTCAACACTGTTGTTTTTAGTTGGTCACAGGCCTTATCTCTTCCACGATGAAAGTGGAAGGGTCAAAGGCAGAGGCTGCTTTTTGCACTTCTGCTGCATAGCTTCATAGTTTAATAGGATAGTTTAATAGGCACAGCCTACAGAGGCTAGTGACATCATCCTTCTGTGTGACTTTGGGCAAGGCACCCAATTCCCTGTGTCTCATTTTCTTCACTTGTGAAACAACCAATTAGAAATAGGCAGTGTGTCTCCTCCAGGGACGTGAGAATGGAGTAGATGTAGAGCCTGGCCCTGACACACAGAGAGCATTTGGTAATCCTTAACTGCTATTATTTCATTTGCAAATCAGAATACTGTTACTATCTGCAGCGGCTGTCACCACTACTTAGAATCTCCACAGGTGGTACCTAAGAATTAGGCACTCATCTTACCTGCAGGAAGGAGGGAGGAGGAAAAGTCTTAATTTGACAAGCAACTTTTCAGGAAAGTGTCTACTGACATCCTGAGGAGCAGATGGAAAATGTGTCCAGGAATGACAACAAATAGCTGTGCTAGCTCATCCTGTTAGGAAGAACGACAGCAAGAGACACCCACAGGAAGCGGAGCTAGGTCCACTTGGCCTCGGCCTATGCTATGCATACCTGCACCAGGGCTCTCTAGCTGGAGTTCTGCTGTTAGGAGTAGGTGAGAAGGAGAAACAGATACTTACTGAGCATGCCTCTGTAGTTGAGGTCCATATCCCGGCTCTCTGAACGCACTTTAATGGCATCGAGAATAGCATCTGGAGACAACAACCCTGAAGGTCTCACAACATTCAGAAGCTCAGTGAGGCTCATCAGAGGTAAACGCACAGCCTGCATGATTTCAGCATGGTTCTCCTTTGCATTGTGCTTACACCAGTTTAACAAGGCTAAGAAAATATCTTTCTCAGGAGCAGCAAACGAATCTCTCAAAACGATGTTCAGAAGTGCCGTCTGCAAAGGATAAACAGGGAGCACAGAAGTCAGCATGGAGCGCAGCCAAGGGCATAACCAGCCTGCAGAACTTGGCCAGACAGTGGGTAGTAGTCCTTTCCTTGAGTTTTGCCCTTCCTAACTGTCCCCTTCTCCCCTCTGCCTATGTGAACAAGCAGCAGTAATACTTCGGGTGCAGAAGCTCATGCTTGTAATACCAGCATTTGGAAGGCTGTGGGTCTAAGGTCAGCCTGGGCCACACGGTGGTTCAAGGACAACATGGGTTACTATAAAAAAAAAAAAAAAAAGAAAGAAAGAAAAAGTAGCACCTTTCCTAACTCAGGCTTTTTGTACCACTATATAAAGCAACTAGTCTTTCCCCACACATCTATACCCATCTTTTGTTGTTTTAAAGAGATTGACTCAATTTTTAAAGTTATAGTACAGAGTAAATAAATTTTTCATACACTGTGTTGCTCATATTTGTAACAGTCCTCTGCTCTACTCCCCATTCCACTGCCCATCTTGCTGGTACCCTGTCCGCCTCCCACAGCGCTGCTTCTGCTTCCATGTCATGTGTATCCCATTACCCCACACATACACACGCCTCTGAAGATCTTCTTCCCTTTTCATAGTCCCCTTTCTAGTTTCACGGCCTACACCTACTGTGTTGGCTGGCTTGTGCCAAGTTGACACAAGCCAGAGACATCTGAGAAGAGGGACTCCCAATAAAGAAAATGCTCCCCCATAAGACTGGCCTGTGGATAAGTCTGTGGGGCATTTTCTTGATTAATGATTGATGAGGAAGGACATAGCATACTGAAATCAGTGCCACTCCCTATACAGATAGGTTCTGGGTTGTACACGACAGCAGGCTGAGCAAGCCTTGGGGAGCAAGCCAGTAGGCAGCATTCCTCCAGGGCCTCTGCTTCAGTTCCTTCTCCAGGTCTCTTCCCTGACTTCCCTTAGTGATGGAGTGTGACCTGAGAGTTGAAGCTGAAATATACCCTTTCCTCCCCAAGTTGCTTTTGGTCGTGGTGTTTTATTAAAGCAATAGAAACCAAACTTAGAAACCCAGTCCCTAACATGTGCACATTTATACACATATGCATACAATGTAACGGCCATTATGAGAGCAACCTGTAAATCTGTCTTTCTGAGTCTGGCTTCTTTCAACTAATGTAATGGTTTTCAGTTCTCCCATTTTGCTGCAACTGTCATTATTTCACTTTCCTTTACAGCTGAACAAAGTCCCATTGTGTTTCTGTACCACATCACTTATCTGGCTGTTGATGGACCTCTAGAATGGTTCCATATTGTAGCTACTGCAAACAGTGCAGTGATAAACCTGTATGTGCAAGTATCTCTAATATGCTGACTTCAAGTCCTTTGGGTTTATATGCAGGAGTGGTATAGTTTGTAGCCATCCTCTTATAAAACAGCAACAACAAAGATGGCAAACTCAATGTGTGTATGTGTGTGCAGGTGCATGCATGTGTGTATTCTTTGAGAAGGTGTGTATTTGTAAGTCAGTAAGATAAGCCCAGAGTTAAAAATTCAAAACCTTCTGTTTTATAGTACTGCGACACTACCATGGTTTTGGTCCTTGGCTCTCTGGACTGAACTCCATAAACTGACTGATGCACCCATGAAAATTCCTTGCTTACAGAAGTTAAATGGGATAATTAAAAAAAAATCAGAGTTCATTCAAATCAATATGCACAGCTCTTTAAACACACACAGACAAAAACTGAGAGGGACAGAGAACCACGGCTCCAGGTTCGATGGCAGATTTAAGTGACAATTTTAAACCGGGAAGAGGAGGGACCCCAGCAGTGACTTGAGACACCCACTGGCACTTCAGGGCTCTTTCAGCAACTTCCCCTCTGAGCCACCGACTATATCCCAGCCCCAAAGACTCTTTCCTTTGGTCAAAAGAGAATTCCTAGATATATTCTATATCAGAGAAATACACAACCAAAAAACGATGTGCAATACAAAAAAAAAAAAAGAATCTTACGTGATATTAAAATCAAGACCAGTCTCTTCTGCACATAAAACTTACCAGAGAAACCTTGGAAAGGGAAAGCAAAATGGAACCAATAGCCTTTAAGAACTAGAGTCCCAGAAACCAGGAGCAAGTGCTAGACCAGATTACTTCTTTGAGACCAATGACCTTTATCTTTGATTCTAAGACCACTGTGGTGTGGTCACTGTGTAAGGACACGCAGAGAAATCAAAGGCAGAGCAGAACGCACCTTGGAAAGGGAGAGGAAGCCTTCACTGGCGAGCACCTCCTGAGCATTTCTGTCCATGAACATGCAGCACATACAAGTTAACTTGGGCAGTGAGTAGAGACTGGCAACATCAAAAGTCATACAGACATTCTGGATGTTAAGGATGGTGCAGAGATACTCAGAGGTAGAATCCTCTAGCTCTGGAAATCCATATTTATGAGCCAGGCTCAAAAAATCCAGCAGCACCTCCTCCTTCTCATCTGTCAGTGTCGCCCGCCCAGTGTAGATGTATTTGAGCAGCATTGTGAATGCTTCTGCAGTGGTGTCCTGGAGAGGGATTTCGGCTTCAGGCTGAGACTCTCGCATCCCACCATACAGTAATGCTCTGCACACCAGAGAAGAAACAGAGTTGGAGAACCTCAAATACCATTTGCTACAAAATACATGTAAAAATGGCTATCAATACTATACACGTATAATAAATTTGCTTAATGATATAAAGATTCAGGTGGAAGCCGGGCGGTGGTGGCGCACGCCTTTAATCCCAGCACTCGGGAGGCAGAGACAGGCGGATCTCTGTGAGTTCGAGGCCAGCCTGGTCTACAAGAGCTAGTTCCAGGACAGGAACCAAAAGCTACGGAGAAACCCTGTCTCGAAAAATCAAAAAGATTCAGGTGGAGAATGCAAGTGATTGTAAATAGTTTCTTTTACAGAATTTAAAAACCATTTTGAATTAATATCATAAACAACTGAGCTAAATGAGGTACACTGAGAGCGCAAAATTACATGGAAAGTTGGAAGTCATCATTTGAGAAGAACAATGACTCAATATAAAGATGTTAAAGTTTAGAAAGTAAAACTCTACAGGAGAATGATGAGCTAAACACTAACGGGAGCCCTGACTGCTGCACAGCGAGAAAACAGGCTCTGTCACGCAGTGTTTAAGGGGCTATGTAAATGGACCCCTTCTTTTTGCAAAATAATTTAGTAATACAGCTATACAAATCTGCAATGTACATACACTAAGACTCAGCAATTGTTCTTTTAAGACCCAACTAGAGAAAAAGATAATTCATTTAACAATATACAGGAATGAATACTTAAACACTAGAAAAAAATCAAAATGTCAAGATGCACAAGGCTGAAACACTGTGGCACACACATTCTATGTCACCACTAGGAAGATCAATAGAGATCAATATGTGCTAGCTAGGAGACGTCTACCTTGGTTCTTGCCCAGTAATGAGTGAAGGGGGTTCAAAGCTTACTGTGAAAAGTTCCCTCTTGTATAGCTAGTATGCCCTTGCCAGGGAACACGTAAGATCTGGTGACAAGACTTGGTCAGGACTCCCCCCAACTACTGCCAGTTAATTTTGCTTTGCACAAGAATAGTGTTATCAACGAGAATCTGAGAGTTTCGGTGGTAGCCTGGTTTAAGCCCAAGTGAGTGACAAATACTACGAAGATTCAATACCCAGAAGCACAAATGTCAATGAGTAAGGGACTGTATTCCATTAGCTCAATACCATCTTCAAGTTTCTGAAAATGTTTGGATTTCTTTTTTTAAAAATATACTGATCATATGACATTCACATACAGGTGGGGTTTTTTTGTTTTGTTTTTTTGGGTTTTTTTGTTTTGTTTTTGCCCAATTGCTTTTTAAGGAGAGTAAAATATACAGTACTCAGAAATAGAAGTTCCATTATTAAGAAAGGTCTTTTAAAAGTACATTCAGACCTTCAAAAAGAGTTAACCGGTATTGTCTGGCCCACTTAGCCTTCTAACCCCTTACTTCTAAGCTGGCTCCTAAAGAAAAGGTAATTCTCAGAAAGTAACAAATCCACAAAGATAAAGTTCTTTCAGACATGTACTAAACGATTCCACTTGTTATACATAAGTTACATATTTTTATTTTCTTCTTTGTTTTCAAAACAGGGTTTCTCTGTGTGACCCCAGCTGACCTGGAATTCACTCTGTAGACCAGGCTGGCCTTGACTCAAGAAATCCGCCTGCCTCTGCCTCCCTGAGTACTAAGATTAAAGGTGTGTGCAACTACTACCTGGTTCATATTTTTCATAGAAAACACTAGTGTTTCCCATGGATGACTTAAATCTAAAAAAGGAAAAGAAAAGAAAAACCACATTACACACTTACCGAAAATACTGGCACCTAGCTGCTAAAATTACCCTGTGGGCAGGAAACCGCTTCTTTTCCACAACAAATGTGACATCGCCATATTCTTCACCAATCAACAAGGCACCAATGTGCTCAGACAGAATGTGCACGTGGTCGATTTCCCCCACTGCAGTAAAGGGGCGAAGAGGGTGGCTGTTACTCATCGTGTGGAACAGATGATAGTCACTGACCTGTCACACAGAGGAAGAGCATGGGTTAGTAAGGAAAGGGTGCAGACACAGAAAACCGCACTCCATCAGCCAACCACACTTTACCCCAGAGTTCATCAGTAATTTTTTTTGAAACAATCTTCAACTGTGTAATACAGGCTGGCTTAAAAGTCACTATAGTTCCGGCTATCCCAGCATTCCCCCCTCCTCCCGCCTCAGTCAAAGTGCCAAAGGTTTCCATTTTATGTCATTGTTATTATTTTGTTTGTTTTTGTTGTTTGAGACAGGGTTTCTCTGTGTAGCCCTGGCTGTCCTGAAACTCAATCTGTAGACCAGGCTGACTTCAAACTCACAGAGGGGATGCCTGTCTCTGCCTCCTGAGTACTAGTATTAAAGACATCCACCACCACCACCCAGATGGTTTCCTTTTAATTAATCTGCGTATTCTAAGAAGCAATTCAACCTTTTTTAACTAACTCCACAACCTTCACTGCCTCCTCACACTAGGAAAGCAGAAATGCCTGGATATTCACATACTAGTAGTGCTTGGAGCCATCGCAATCCAGACACACAGGCTTTGTGCCAAACAGCACCTCATGGAAAGGAGAGCCAACCAGCAGAGAGGGCCTACACTGATCACAGGCTGATTTTGCAAGGCTGGATACAGCTACACCCAGGAAAAGTCTTTCAAGTACAGATTTGGGAATAAATTACAGACTAAATTTAATATCATTTCATGTAAGTGATTTTGGTTTGAAACCACCTTAAATAATTTATAGAAAACAATCTTCTGTGGTCACAAAAGTGACTTACTTTATTAATAAAAATTTACAGAAACATCACAGCGCTCTTCCAAAATGAGAATCCATCTGGCATAGTCTCTAAACTGCTACTTCTCAGCCTGGTGAAGTGCCGTGAACTAATACCACCACACTCAAGAGGCCGAGGCAAGATTATGGGTTCAAGGGTAGCATGAGCTACATAGTAAGACTCCAATGATCAGGTTGATGGCAAATACCAGAATATCACTATATTTATAGGCACTTCCTTGCCTTTATGTGCAGTCTGTCTATAAAAATAAATGAAAATCAAGGGGCTGGAGTCGGAGTAACATACTCAAAAGGGAAGCTAAGACTTAGGAAGCTAGAACTGCTCTTAAGTCTTTATTTGTGAGCACGCCTTTTCAGACGCAGGAACTCAGCAGATACTTGAGGCTCTTCACTAGCATTCAGACCCCCAGGTAGAAGAGGTGCCTGGTGCCTCAGAAGTAGTCTCTACACTGCACAGAGACAAGGGAAACTGAGCCAATAAACAGTCTTCACTGAACCCTCATCATCTTCAGCAGTCTGTCGTAACCAGCATTAAAGGCTCAAGGTCTCTCATCTTCAAACTTCCACCCCAGATCTTGTACTAGCAAGGTGTATGAAGTCCGTCTCCTATGTCTACAGGGAAACCTTCAGGAGCAAAGCTCTTTAGCCGCTTGTGATCACATGACCAGCCCAAAGGGAGACTTACCAACAACAAGAGCTGTGATGAAAGAACAAAAATGGATGACTAGCAGCATCCTGCCCTGTTGCCAAAGGGTGGTGGTTTGAATAGACTGGCCCCTGTAAGTTCCATACTCTTGAATAGCTGGTCCCCAGTCGGTATGGTTTGGGAAGGATTAGGCGTGACATTGTTGGAGGAGGCATGTCACTGGAGGAAGGCTCTCAAGTTTCCAAAGATTGTTCCATTCCCAATGTGCCTGTGCCTACTTACAATCTGTGACGTGAGCTCTCAGCTGTTCCTTCGCCATGCGTTTGCTCCACCATCACCCTACCCTCTGAACCACAGGCCAATCACATACTTTCTTTATAAATTGCCTTGCTCAAGGTGTTTCATCACAGCAATGAAAAAGTAACTAGTACATAAAACAAACCCCCTTTCCTCAATTGCAGCTGCCACTTCAAAGAGTCAAAACTTAGCCATCTTCAGTCATTTGTATGAGAAAAAAACAAACTCAGTTTAATAGGACCAACTTGGAAGCATTAGCAACAACAGGAAATGTGTGCTATGACACTTAACAGAGAGGTTGGGCCACTTTCTATAAAGGTTCCATAGTAGTTACTTCAGGCTTTGTGCACTACACAACATTGTCCTACATACTCGTCTGCCTTAAGAACTAAAAAGAAGCCCTAGGCAAGAAGTAAATGAATGACCATGGCTGCGGTCTAATAAAGCTATTGAAAAAAGAATGGTACGGTGTCTGGGGAATGAACTCATTACAAGCATGAGGGCCTGGGTTCAATCCCCAAAAATCCACATTAAAAAATGCTGTCCTCTTTTTTAATGGTTGCTGCCTTTTAAGCTAGGCTGTACTAGTCAGCAACTACAACTCCGGTGTAGGCAGAAAAGCAGCAGCCGAAAGAGCAGCAGCCTGAGGAAGAAATTCTGTTCCCTCAGGCACTGACTCTTTCAAAGAAACTAAGAGAATTTACCTAAACCTCTGCCCTGCTAAAGAACTCAAGATTCAAAGGCTGAGGTAGAATCTTGCTTCCCAGAGAGGCTGAACAGCAAGCAGCTCACCTGGCTCATCTCCCAAGAATCCTCCTCGTGCCTTTTCTCACCCCTCCTTATAAACCCTTCTCCTCCCAGCTGATGCAACCTCCGGACCGCAGGTGAATTTTATTTAATCAAACACACCTTTGCATCATTAAACAAATGTTTTGGAGTATAAACAAAAGTAACACACCTTAAAATAATATTCTACAACACATGGGGGCTGGAGAAATGGCTCAGAGGTTAAGAGTACTGGCTGCTCTTCCAGAGGACCTAGGTTCAATTCCCAGCAACCACATGGCAGCTCACAACTATAACTCCAGTTCCAGGGGTTCTGATACCTTCACACAGACACACATGCAGGCAAAACACCAATGCACATGAAATAAACATAAATAAATCATTTTTTAAAAAAAAGCAGGACATGATGAACATAGATTGTAATCCCAGCACTAGAAGGCGGAAGGCTCTCTGGCCATCCAGTCTGGCCTACTCATTGAGCTGCAGGCCTTTGAGAGCCGTGCTGAAAGAAAGGAAGGGGGAGCCGTGCTGAAAGAAAGGAAGGGGGAGGGAAGAAAAGAAAGAAGGTAGATAGCGCTTGAGGATCAATTAAGACCCAAAATTATCCTCTGATCTCTACAGATATAATACACACACACACACACACACACACACACACACAAAGAGATACACACATACGGACAGACACACACAGAGATCATCTCCCTCTCCCCGCACCTATTCTCTCTCATATTTAAAGAGAAAACGGATTTGGTCAAAGGTCACAGTTTGCCATGTGCTTGACTAACGTGATCAAGAGCTCCAGATGAAGCATCAAACAGGGTTTGAGATTTGTTTTCTTTCCTGGTAGTTTATCCTGCTGATATGCAAAGGCCATGGTTGCTTCCTGTGTTGGCCAAACTCTGAAAACTACTAGATTCTGACTTCAAACTCCATCCCTGGCAACAGGACTGCTCCATCACTCTGCCACTCCAGATCAAACAGACATTTGCACTGAGAGGAGGCACTGCACGTGGCTCATGAATATCCTCCGGTGTAACATCTCTGAGCATTTATCTAAGTCATGGCCAGGATTCAGCCCACTGCTAATGACTCTGGCTGAACAATGACTGGTTTTCAGTTAACTAGCTCAGTGGGATATTTACAATTCATCAACTGACAAATCATGAGCATTAATTCTGAATATGTAAATATCTGCTTTAATGGGTTCACCAGATCTTCACTTCTCAATACATATAATTTCACTTTGCTAAATTTACATTTTAATTATGTTTTTCCAAGTGGAAATATAAAGTGAGTAGTGCTGGATACAGAAAACAGCCACTTAGTGTGGAATAAACACAATTTTTATTGGCGTATAGAAATAATTTTAATTAGACCAATGATTCTCAACATGCTTGCCATACACTGGAACCACACAGGAAGCTCAGAAAAATGGAAATAAGACGATTGAGTCCCACCCTTCAGAGAGTCGTATTTAATTAGTCTGGAAAGGAACACAGACACCAGAGTCAACATACTAAAGTGATTCAAATGAGCAACGTGGAGAGCCACCAGTTTAGACTGCTGTGGGTTCGTGATTTGAATGTGGTTTGTCCTTTGATCACAGAGTCACAGAATCAACAGGTGCTGGAATAAGAAGGCAGGCAGGAACCTTTAAGAGGTTAGTCAGCATTTGGAAGGTCTTAAGGTCACTGAGGACAAAGGGATTAAGGCAGTTCTCAAGGGACCCTTTGGCAGTTTTCTCAAGAGTTGCAGCCATAGCAAGCTTGGGTCCACTAAGCTCTCTGGCTTACTGTTTCAAGACATCTTTTTTTCCTCCCACATGTGTTCCCATCATTGTAATACCAGCTTGCTAACATGAGCTCCTGGGCCAATGGCAGGACTATGCCCTTGAACTTCCAAAATTATAAGTTAAATAAATCTCTTTTCTTTATAAAGCTAGCCTACTTCAGATATCTCATATAGTTATACAAAGTAAATACAGTTTATATTCCCTAGGTACACAAGTTCAAAAGCAAAATAAGTCCAAAAGAAAACAAGTTCTGTCTTAGGTTAAAATTGCTGTGATAAAACACCATAACCAAAAGTAACTTAAGGAGAAATGGGTTTATTTCACCTTACGGTGTACAGTGCATCAAGAAGGGAAGACAGGGCAGGAACTCCAGGCAAAAACCTGAGCAGGAACTGAAGTGGAGACAAGGGAGAAACACTGCTTACGAGCTTCTTCTCCCCAAGACTTGCTCAACCCACCTACTTACTCCATTCAGGACCACCTGCCTAGGACCACCCTCAATGGGCTGGGCCCTCCCACGTCAATGAAGAAAATGCCCTAAAGACTTCCCTACAGGCTAATCTGATGGAGGCATTTTCTCAATTGAGGGTCCTCTTCCCAGATTTCAGTTTAGGTCAAGCTGGAGGGGAGGAGGAGAACTAACCAGGACAAATTCTACTTTGATATT